GGAGCAGTGCGCGGCGGGGCCCCTCCTGCAGCCAAGCCCGCGAATTGGAGGAGCGGCCTGGGGAACTGCGCGTGGACCGCAGCCACCGCTGGGTCGCGCCCAGCACGAACTCCACGGAACGTCGGACTGCTACAGACCCGACCGGCCCGCAGTCTAGTTGGTCCTCCGATTGCCACCACCCACGCCCGCGGCCAGCCCTGAACAGATGACAAGCACTAGGACTTGAGTTTTCCTTTGTGTACGGCACTGACCATGGCGCGGGTGGGGCTCTCGAACTCCACTGGGGAGTGGGCACGTTACAGGTGCCAATTTTGTTCCGACCCGGGGTTGGGGGTGGGTGGGAGGGATCTCGGACGCTGCCTTTCTTCCCATCCCTCCGACAGACCTGGGAGGACAGGTGAAGGGCCCAGGGCCCCCAGCCCGGATGTGCCTGTAGGGCCTTTTCCCTTTCAGCAGGGACTGAACACAAAGGACCAAGTGACTTCCCTTGGATCTATTTGTGTCACCTCCGCAGCACCCCCCCAGGTGAGGCTTGTGGACCCCGGAACCTGAGTGGGGCGGGCCGCTGCCCTCCTCCGAGCTTGGAGGGGGTTGGAGAGGTTAAGAATTTGCTTAGTAAATAGCTTGAACACTCCCATGGTGTCCTGTCCTCTGTCCAGTCACCCCAGTGCCCAGCCCTTCCGCTCACCTACCTACCGCCAATTCCTTCCCACAGACTCCTGTTGAGATCTCCCAGGGAAGGCAGCCCTAGACACTGTGAACTTTTCCTGCCACCTGTCACCTCCCCGTCATGCTTGGACATGGCTCACAGCGAGCCAGGGAAGTGAGCCAAGTCCCACGTCGATCTGCGAGGGGCGGGGCAGAGGATCAGGCTGCGAGGCCACATGGTGGGTCTGCCCTTAGGGACTTGGGAAGAGGGAGAGCTAAGTGCGGGTGGGTGGCCAGGCTGCTAGGTTCTCCCGGGCAAGGCCCACTGCTCCGCATGTACCAAAGGGGGACGGTTTCCACCTGCCGTCTGGTGCTCGCCTAGCTCTGAGTACCATCCTTACAAAGCCAGCGAAGGCCCCCTTCAACAGTGGGGTAGGAAGGAAGGAATCCCGGACAGGAGCTGCTTCCAGCAGGGTTTGCTGCGGGTCAACAGTGTTGCCATGGGCAGGAGGGGCCGGTTGCCCAGAGAACCTCGGCTTGGCTCCAGCCCCTTGTCCTGCCTCCTCTGCCAATCACAGCATGGCTGTCCAGGGTCTGTGCCCATTTTAGACTGGTGCCAGCCATCAGTACCTCTGTGCCAGCCCTACCGGAAGCACCCTGTGTGATCTGACTACTGGGAGGAGGACTAGAAGCCAGTAGGGTGCAGCTCGCAGGAGGGCAGAGGGTATTTATTGTAGTCGCTGAGCTCACTGTTTCCAGCTTTGTCCTAGGCACTTTGAATGGGTGCATTTTTACCTCCTGCCCAAAGGCCAACAGCGGAACACAGTAGTAGATGTGGATGGAGAGTGCACGGTGCTCCAAGCCGGCAAGCACGGAGGCTCGCCATCTGCCCCAACTCCGGCCTTCATCCAGGCCATAGCTAGTGGCAGGGTCTCCCAAGCCGGACCAGGTTTCTCATCACAGGCAAGGAGAAACCTTAGGGTACAAGCTCATGCCCAATTCTCAAACTCATGAGAGAGCCAGCAGTTGGGATTTCCGAGGAGGCTGAGCACTCCATTGGCCTGAAGCCCAATGATAGGAAGAGCTACAGAGGTACACACACACACACACACGCACGCACACGCGCGGGCACACACGCACACAGAGGTCCTCAGCAGGACCTGAACTGCAGCCCCGCCTGGGCCTGTGCATCCGGGACTAACAATAGCCCCAGCCTGGATCATGGGATCCCGGAGTCACAACCTGGGCAGGACCAGAAAAAAGACCCTGATACATCTGGGGCTGGGTGAGGCAGGGGCCAGGACATGTAGACAGAAGCTGCCCAGGGAGCCTCATCCTACACAGTTCCTTTCCATGAGTATTCTGCGTTCAGGGCAGCTGCACAGCCTCAAAGCTTTTGCAAATGGCCAGAGTGGGTAGCCTGAGGGTCCTGGAAAGCAGGCCACCATCCACCTGACCCAGGCCAGGAAGGGCAGGGACTACCTCCAAATGGTAGCTACTGGCATCACAGCAGGTTGGGGGTGAGGAACCAGTCTCCAGCACAGCCAGCCGCACTGCCCTTCCCCAAGGACAGCCCCATCTACTGCGGTCTCACTTCCAAACCACGCTTTGTACGCTTTTCCCACTCACTTAAACCTGCCCAGGTAACTCCTGACTGCAGACTGCACCTAACACTGCCTCCTCTGGCACTCCAAGTGCCTCCTAGGTGGACCTTCCCTCCCGCTTCCCCGGCACCTGTGTTCCCAGGAAGTGGCTACAGACGGCTCATGGGAAAAGCTCATGTGGGAAGGTAAGAAACACAGGAACTCTCCTCACCTGCTAACCCTCCACACTCATGGTGCTTATCTGGGAAGGGCAGGGCAGCTGACCCCAAGACTCCCCTGACTGCAAAGTTCTCGATGCTCTGAGGCTGTGGAGGTTGCTGAGGTCTTGGCCAGTTTGGATCTTCTGGGACAACAATGTGGGTGATGCCAGTGAGAAGGCCTGGGGGTCTTCTACTCAGCCAGCTGGGCTCTTGCTATCAAGACCAGGTGGACAGGAAGACACAATGAGCAGGTAGACAGAATAGGTCCTATGCGGCATTGCTGGGTCACTACCAGCAACTGGTGCAGGGGCTGTGAAGAGAACCAGGTGCTAACAGGTCCAGTCTCTACCCACTGCCACTGGGAGGTTGGGAGGGAAGGGTAGGGAAACCTTGTCATTGGGTGTAAGTGGAGGCCACATCCTTGTGCTTCTCGTTCCGCACAGAGGGTGGTGGAAGCACAGGACCCACACTTCCCTGGACCTAAGGGACAGCCGTAGAATACCCAAGCGCTGGCCTCGAGACCAGAGCCATGAGGAAAACAGAACATAAAAGAAGTATTTTTATTCCATTAAAAGCACCATCCTTGCATTTAATACAGCTCATAACTTACAATCGAAATAAAAGCCGGGTAATATAAATAAGGGGGAAGGAAGTCATTTCTGAAGAAATAAAATTCTGGAAAAGAAAAAAAAAAAAGTTGCAAATAATTCTGCTATCTCCCCACATGTGACAAACTGCACAATCCTGCTCCTGAGCAGCCTCAAACCTGGGGGCGGGGGTGAGTGTGCAGGGATGGAGGGTCATCCCAGGTCCACTGAGGAACACACTGTCCTCACTGCACACCCAGCCCCGCACACACTCGGGGCCTCTAGCGTCTCTTCACCTACAGCTCCCCGACCAACTGCACGTCCCACCTAGGGAGACTCACGGTGGGCTCACAGGCTTCTCCCCTTGTCTGGCCAGTCTCCCGCTTTGTCCCCCAGGTCCCTAACCCCTCTAGCTTCCAACTCGCCATAGATGGGGCACAGGGACCGAGGGAACCCCTAGGTCAGAGCCTTGGCAGAGCCGTCTGCCATAGGAACCACCTCCGGCCTAGGACCTGGGGAGAGGCAGGACTGGGCGTGGTGAAAGCCCTGAGTAAGACTGCCACACACACAGGGCAGGGCAAGACCCCGTGTATCATTTCCCAAGGGGCATCCTGTGGGGCTGAGGAGGTGTCCTGGGTCACAGTGGCTGACAGTAGTTTGCAATGGGCCTCTCAGGAGAGCTGTGTATAGCTAACGGCTCACAAAGGACCCACGTTTTGTAATTTGCAGCGAAGTAGCTGCCAACAACTTTGCTTTCTCAAGGGTCTCACGTAAAAGCCCTGATGGCTGGCTCTGTGGGCTCCAGCCCTGGGCCTGACATGAAGACTGTGGGGGCAGGAGGCTCTAGGTGGCCTCTGGGGACAGCACCAGAGACTCTGCACATCGTACACATTGCATATACAATGCCCAGGCTCTGCAGTGCAGTCAGAGGAGAGTGAGGACCAAGTCTTTCAAAAGGGATCAGAGGGGCTTAATGAAATTAGCTTCCTCAGAAATGCCCCACTGTGGTCCTGCTGACAGCCTGAGGACAGACATTCTTGAGGAAAATGTGTTGGCTCCAGATCTCCTTGAGAACCCAGCCCTGACTGGGAACCCTAGTAAAAGCCTCCACTAAGGGAGGCCAAAGCCAGAGTCAGGGCAGGCCTGTGATGGGGCAGCTGGCCCGCCGTCCGAGGACCCCGCCCCCAGCGGCTCACCCTCAGCACAGCAAGGAGACGAGAGCATCAAGGAACTTGCTCCGATCCTCGGCTTTCAGCTCGATTACTGAGGTAATGAAAGAAAAACATCTTTTGAGAAGGGAGGAGTGAGAAAAACAAGCAGGGCACACATATACTCCCTCTTCCTGACATTCTCGGTGGGGGCAGCCCTCTACTGCACTCCATACTGGGCAGGAGCCTCCATGGCCTGGGGTACTCTGGACGACTTCAATTCATCTCTCCAGCGGCCGGCTGCATTGGTAGAGAGCTCAGAGCCATCGACCTACAGGGAGGACTCTCTGGGCAGCCTGAGACCAGCAATAACAGCCTTTAGAGGGCTGATGTAACAGTTCAGAGTAGTACGGACCCGGAGAGGGTCGGGCCTTCCCACATGGCCCAGAAGATACATGGCCTCCATAGTAGGTGTGGGAGGCCCAAGGTTGGGCGGTTCACCTCAGCCTGCTCGGCCGGTACCACAGCGTCTGTCTTCTGTAGAAGGAGCCGTGATACAAACTGCCTGCATCTTGAAGAGCCATTCAGCTCAGCCAGGCATGTGAGCCTTCACCAGACAGAGCAAAAGCAGACTCTGAAACAGAGCTGGCTTGTCTCAACGATGGTCCAGACCCAGGCCCACCCAACCAGGCAGGTACTGGCCATGGCTCACTCCACACTCCTTACCCCAGACTCTCCAGGCCTCAGGGGAAACCAGGCAACCTCCCAGCCCCTAATCCTCCCTTGTATAACGGAGGGAGGACACTCTGCAGGACAGCTGTAGTCAATCTCTTCCACATCAAGGGCATGAAAGAGGAAGGAGCTATTGCTCAGAGGGGACTAATACCACACCGCCCCACAGGGTGATTGCTCTGGCACAAGACAGCAGGCTCCGAGGCAGCCGAGGCAACCGGAATACAGGAGGTGCTGATGTAAGAAAGGACCTTTCGGAGAGAGGCAGGTAAAATACTGAGGGGTATTACAGGCTGCACTGTGCCACCCAAATTCTTATGTTGAAACTCTAACTTCCAGCCCCTCAAAATATGACCATATTAAGAAACAGGGCCTTCAAATAGATGAATAAAGTTAAATGAGACCTTCAGGGTGACTCCTAATCTAGTGTGCCTAGGGTCCTTGTAAGAGGATCAGCGTACAGATACACAAAGGAGGACTATGTGAGATTTCAGGGAGACTACAGGCAAGAGGCTGGGAAAGGAAGCAACCTGGCTGATATCTTGGTTCCAGGGACCCAGCCTCTAGGACTGTGAGAAAACAACCCGCAGAAGTCACTCAGTCTGCAGTGCTCTGCAGCTCCACCAAATTAGAGTGGGAGGAGTGATGATCAGTCTGTTTTACTTTAAAATGTTAGGCAGAATAAACACAGCTAAACATGGATCATGTTCCAGGTTGGTATGTGGGGAAGTTATTGCCCGGCTAGAAACCCTCTCTCTCATGTGGGACCCACCCAGTGCATCAGAGGGGCCGAGAGTTAAACCCTCATGCTGAGAGCACAGCATGGCCTCAGGCAGAACCTTTCACAACGACACAGGCTCTGGCCTGAGCTATGGTGGTACGTTTGGGTTGCTGCAGCCCCGCTGTTTCCTTGCCCACAGCAGGGCACTGGCGACACAACCCCGAGTGGTGAGGCTGGGCCCCAGAGGTGCCTGCAGCCAGTCCTCCAAGCTTGGCGGAAGGACAGCTTGAGGGTGGGTTGTAAGGCCACGGCTGGGTACCCAGCTCCCTAGAGCTGGAGCATCCTGAGCCTCTGGGAGCAGCTTTGCCTGGGACTGGTTCTAGAACAAGAGGGCTGCTGGCCAGCCTTGGCTAATCAACGCTCCCTTTCCTGGTTCTGAGGCCGTCACGGACCTTGGAAGATGCCCAAAGTATGGCCAAAACAGCTGGGGCTCTCACCTGACAGGTCAAAGTGGTTGTGCAGCATCCGAGAGTTGGTGCTTTCCGCCGCCTTCTCAAACGCACGTCCGAAAAAGCTGCAGACACAGGACATGTTGGAGGCCAGGCCACCTCCAGGGCCCTTCCTTCCCCCAACACACACGGAAGGCCAAACATCACCCCGCTCAGGCACAGGGCTGAGGGACCAGCATGCAGATACTTCCAAAGCCCTCCCACCCCTGCCATTCCAAGACAAATGGAAGCAGCTCACTTCTTTCTGTCTGAGCTGTCAGTCTCTGGGGGAACGCCCACCATGGTCACTGTGCCCTGCTCCACACTCAGGGGGGCAGCCATCACCAGGGGCAGCAGCTTGCAGCGTCGGTTCTTTGTCTGTTCAGGTAAAGGCACCCTCAGTTACAGCACAGCCAGATCCAGCTTCACGGGTGGAGCGTACTGTCCAGCGCTCAGGATCCCCAACAGTGCTAGGCCACTCCCCCAAATCCTCCAGGGACTGGTGGTCACCAGAGGAGATGCTAGAATCCTATGTGGTGCTTTGGAACCAGATTCGTATTAGCTACCAGCCTCACTCCAATGTGCCTGCGCTCTCCCCTGCAGGGGCTCTGCCTGTGCTGTTCCCCTATCACCTCTCAGGTCTGGCTGCAGCTGTCACCTCCTTCAGGATCTGTGCCGATCCTGTTCCCTTCTCTCTGATGTGTGAGCCTCCACCTGCAACTGCACGCCTCTGTCTTCGTGTGGTCCCCTCACCTGCGCGTGCACTCCCTCGGGATGGAGACTGAACGTCCTCCGCACTGCCGAACTCAGCTCTCAAACCCTCCCACCAACGTGACTCAATGTCCTGATCTGCGCGAGACTAAGGAACGATCTGGGAGGGCAGGTCACTGCGAAAATGGCTCGACAGGTGGTAGTTAATCAATGTCTTTTTGCCTGGGTCCTGTGAAGTGGGTATTTGTTTTACCAATTTTGTGGAAGAGGAAATGGAGGCTCAGAAATCAGATAATCTATCTCACAACTGATAAATGAGGAGTCTGAGATTTGAACTAAGCCTAGAAGACTCAAAAGCTCATAGCTGACACCTACTTCGTCTTTTGACATTATAGTCATCCCTCGGTAGCCACCAAGGATTGCTTCCAGAACCCCCATGGATACCAAAGCCCAAGGAGGCTCAAGTCTCCTCTATAAACGTTGTAATGTTTGCACAGAACCTGTGCACATCCTCTTGTACATTTTAAGTCATCTCCAGACTACTTATAATACCTAATACGGTACCTACACATCACTTCATCTGCATGGACTCAGTGTACGACTCGGTACACAACAAATTCAAGTTTTGCACCGTCTCCACCACTCTGAGCAGGCCTCTTTCCGTGCTTGCTTCAGCAGCACATACACTACGCAGGCCTGCAGGCCTCTCTCTACTTTTTCCGAGCCGCTCGGACAGCAAAGGATGCAATCAGGACTCATGGGAAACCAGAAGGCTGAGGAAAGCTCAGCTCAGAAAGCACAAGGCTATTCCCAGCTCCCTCTGCTGGTGAACAGCACGGGACACCGCCTTAGCACCCGGTTCGGGGAACTCACAGAGCATCTGCCCTCCTGCAGCCACGCCCCACCCGCGTGGTTCCTCACCGCAAACACAAAGGACTTGAGCAGCTGTTTGCTGAGCAGACTCAGGGACACTGGCTTGGAGAACAGCACAACATCCGGAGTGGCCTGGGAGTGGAGACAAAGGTCCGAGGAGGCCACTCGCAGGCGTGGCTCGGTGTACACAGAGAGGGAAGCCTACCTCCGTGAGGGAGCAGTAGAGGAACGGCCCCTGGGAGATGACAAGGTTGGTGCAGAGGCAGCTGGCAATGATGTGCCGGGTGGCCTGCAGGTGCTTCTTGGCAAGTTCCAGGCCCAGGTACAGCTTGTCCAGGTTACTCCTGAAACAGGGCAGACATTCACCTGACGCACTGTTGTCTGGAACGCTCGGTGAAATGCCAACGTCCCCGGTTCAGGAAGAGATTTGGAAATAAGCGTCTATCTTCTCTCCCCCCGAATTCCCTTTCATATGAAAGGAAGGAATAAAAATCCGTATAAGCCCAGAGTGACAGAAATGAGAGGCAGAAAGGGTGCTGGCATCGGAAGACAGGAGACTGAGGACCCTGAGGAGGAGCTCGCAGGAACTCGCGGAAAGGCTCTGACAGAGGAGAGGCCTGGCAGAGCGTGGGGGCCACGGGGGCCCCTGCACCCAACAGAGATGTTTGCTCTTCTCCTCCAAAAGGGAAGGCTCCCTCTAACATGAAAGAGCCCTCCGAAGAAGTGGGCCCTTCAAGCAAAGCTGCTGAGCCTGGCAGTCAAGAGTCCCAATATATCACAGTTGGCAGCCTGCCTGCTAGGATGAAGCGATGTTTTGGCCAGCAAGTCGTGCCCAGATGCTGGAACTCAGCCAAGATTCCACAGTCCCGTTCCTGAATATGAAAGACACCAGGCCATTTGGGAAACACCTGTGGCCTAAAAAATGATCCCGGGAGGAAACAGATAATTTAGATAATAAAAGAAACTTGAAATCTACTATCTTCACAGATTTAAGCAACTATCGCATTCCTAAATCAAGGACAGGATGCTATTAAAAAGGAACCATCAGAAACTGGAAAGTGCAGGTGGAAATTAACATAACTGCAAAAAAATAAAATATTCACTCAAAACCTAGAGAATAAAGTCAAGAAAACCTTCCTCAATATCTATAACAAGACAAAGCCATGGAAAATGAAAGGCAAAAATATACAGAACATCATTCCAGGAAAACCAGAAAGCAAGATTAAAAAACATGATGTGGCTGGGGATTTAGCTCAATGGTGCCGCCACCTACCTTGCAAGCCCAAGGTCCTGAGTTCAATCCCCAGTACAAAAAAAAAAACAAAACAAAACCATGATGTGTGTATAGAGAGGTGAATGGTAAAGAAACAGTAAAAAAAAAAAAGAACTCCTGTAGTTCTAAGACCTGGGTCTGCAGGTTGAAAGGATCATCTGAGAATGCAGGAAAGGAAATGCACTGAATAGGATGTACCTAGACAAAGCACTACAAAATTCTAGAATACTGAAAACCACAAAGGAGATCCTGAAAACTTCTGGAGGTAGGGTTGGGGTGGAGCATTTACAAAGAAACAATACTCAAAATGGCCCAGACTTCTTACGGACATAACAGCACTGACTGCTGGAAGACAGGGGCACGATGGAAAACACAGTCACCAGAAATCATCTTCAGTCTTGAGTTCTCTATGAGCTCAACCAGAAATCAGATGAGGATAGAAAAATGATATCATCAGGCACAGAACTCAAATCAGTTGACTGTTGTGCTCTAGTAAAAAGGTGGAGTCAATGAAACAAAAGACAATGCTAAGAAATACTGGCTCTAACTACAGAGGTATAGACAAGGGACATCTATGGTGACAATGGGTAGCCAGGTCCAGGTTAGTGTGGGCCTGAGCTATATCCTCAGACCCCAAAGTGTAAGCAGGTAGAAAAGACCACCAACCAGCTACAAAATTAGTATATTGTCATCAGTGTGGGACAAAATAGAGAGGTGGTGAGACATAAAAACAATTAAAAAGTCCAGACAGAATAGTGAGAACAGTAGCTAAAACTGAGAGGAGCTCAGTGGCTAAGAACAGCATTTTACTTTTTTGGTTTTTGGGTTTTTTATGGGGGGGCAAGGTCCTGGGTTTCATCCCTGGCACTGGGGGCAAAAAAATCGATTAGAACCAATAAATGAGCTCTGGAATGTTGCAGAATACAGGATCAATATATACAACTCAGTTGTATTTCCATATGATAGAAATGAACAAACCAAAAATGAAATTAAGAAAATAAGTACAGGGCCAGGAGGCTGGCTCAATGGTTCCACTGCCTTCCTCAAAAGCACAAGGGCCCAAGTTCGTCCCCCAGTACAAAAATGAAAATAAGTACAGCCAGGCATTGTGGCACATCCCTGTAATCCCAGCTACTCAGGGAGCTGAGGCAGGAGGATTGAAAACTAGACGCCAACTAGGCAACATCGTAAGCCTCTGTCTCAAGAATTACAGAGGAGGAAAAAAAAAAAAGCTGGGCATGTAGTTTAGCAACAGAGTTCTTGCCCAGACCCTGCATTCAATTCTCAGCACTGCAAAAAAGAAAATGTCCAAATATTTAGAAGTAAATTTAACAAAAAAGTCCAGTTTATATTCTGAAAATGGCAATACTCTCTCCAAATTAAGCTACAGATTTTACACAGAAATTGAATTTTTTTTTTTTTTTTTGCAGTTAACAAGCTGGTCTCAAAATTTATTTGTAAATTTAAGTCATTTAGAATACTTATGTAGAAATACATTGTTCATTTAAATTTGTTTATTATTTACTGGAATTTATTTGGAAATTCAAGTCACCAAGATCATTCGAAAAAGAGGAAAATGGGAGGACGCCTATTTTCTGGTTTCAAAACTTGTTACAAACCTACAGGAATCAAAACTGTGACGCTGGCAAAAAGACAGACAGAAGATAGATGAATGGACGAGAACTGAAAATCTAGAAATAAATCCTCATATTTATGGTCAGTTCATTTTCAACATGGACTGGGGAGACAAACAGCTTTTGCAGCAGTGGTACTGGGACAAGGAGATGTGCAAATGCAAGAGAGTTAAATTGGATTCCTTCCTTTCAACAAACACAAAAATTAACCTCAGGGCTGGGGATTTAGCTCAGTGGTTCCGCCGCCCACCTCACAAGCACAACAACCCGAGTTCGATCCCCAGTACCAAAAAAAAAAAAAAAAATCTCAAATAAATCATACACCAAATGCAATAACTAAAACTGAGGTAGGACAGAAAGAATAAAGATAGCTAAAAAAAGAGACAAGGAAACTTTTTCCCCCTTTGCAGTACCAGAGATTGAACACAAGGCTTTCAACCCTGAGCTACAGGCCCAGCCCTTTCTTTTTAAATTTTGAAACAGCGTCTTGCTAAGTCACTAAATTGCCCAAGCTGTGCCCTCAGCCTTCTAGAGTGCTAGGATTATAGAAACGCACCACCATGTCCAGCTGGAAATTCAATTTTTGTCTTCTTACTAACTTAAAACTCTGGGTCAGATCATGTCTCAGCTTTGCACAAAAGAATGTCAATAATTTAGGAACAGTTGACAAGATGAGTTTTCTCAACCCTAAATTTACCTAATCTATCTCATGCCCCTTTAAGACTGAGGGCACCAAGAAAAAAAGTAACTAATTTTTAGGAACACCCCATTGCCAGCTTTTATAACGTCCAGTTCCAGACCTTCCTGGAGCAGTGCCTAGACGTCCAGAGCCATTGTCCTAAACCTGTAGTCACCTGCGTCCCAGGAAAAGTGGAGCCTCACAGAACACCCTGTGATGAGCTCACCCTCCTAAGCATAGACAATCACCTCAGAGGACCAAGTCACCCCTCGGGCCTTGAGGATTCCTCTGGAGCTGTGAAAACTAGAACTGAGATACGTTTGACCCAGGCCCTGGCCCACCTCTGCTAATCCTTAAAAGTGGTCTTGTGCTTTTGAGTGAGCCATCAGAATGTGCCTCCTCCATTTATTCAAACTCAAGTCTTTTCCTCCTGTCCCTTACTTTTTAACTCTGCTAATAAACCCCTAAATGCCTCACACCGATGTGTCCTGAAATTCTTTTTCTGTGACAGAAGTCAACAAGCCTACTACCTACCCCATGGGGTGTGGGGAAAGGTGAGGTCCCCATTTCCCCTTTGGGAAACCTCCTTGGACCCCATCCGGTGACAAAACTACAAAATTCTTAGTACAAAATACAATATAAAATTTTTGTGATCATGGATTAGACAACAGCTTTTTAGGTATGACACCAAAAAGCACAACAAACAAACAAAAAATACAAAGGATCCTTGAGTCACAACCGGCTGGACATATGAACAATTTAGGTTACGACCGGAATCTTAGTTTCAACTTACAAACTAAGTTTTGAGTTACAACCCAAATGCTGACTGCTTGTGCTTCCAGATGGTCCCAGATACAGATTTAACCCTTAAAGTATCCTGGAAAGAGCATTACAACATCCTTTTCTATGTGGGGTTAACCGAGAAATCCTGGCCCAATGTCTCACTTAAGGACAGTGAGCTCTGCCTGTGTACAGGAGGGAGACTTTCTAGAGCAGGCTGAGCCTTCAATCGACCAACTTGAGTCACAACTAGTCCTCGAGAATGAACTGAGCTCATAAGTCAAGACATCACCAAATTTGGTGATTCAAAGGATACTGTCAAACTAAAAACCCAACTTATAGGATGGGAGAAAATATTTGCAAATTACATTATCTGATAAGGGACTTGTGCTTAGAATGTGCAAAAAATATCTTACGTAGACAGGTATGGTGGCGCATGCCTGGAATCCCAGCACTTGGAGGCTGAGGCAGGAGGATCGCTGTGAGTTCGAGACCAGCCTGGGCTACATAGTGAGTTCCAGATCATTCTCAACTACATAGTGAGACCCTGTCTCAAAAAAACCAAACCAAACAAAAATATCTTATGTAACTCAATAATAAAGACAGACACCTTACTTAAAAATAGGTAAAGTATTTGGACAAACTTCCAAACAAAATACTACACATACACACATGGCTAATAAGCACCTCAGAATGTGCAAATCAAAGCTAGTGAGCTACTACTTCACACTCACTACAAAGACTACGATCGGAGTCGTAAGGCAAGAGGCGCCGGAGAGGGCATAGAGAAGCCAGAACCCTCGTACTCAGCACTGGGAATGTGAAATGGTCCAGTCTCTAGGGAAAGCCCTCTGGCAATTTCTCTGAAAGCTAACCCCAGAGCGACGATGTGATCCAGCAATTCTACTCTTGGAGCTGTAACCAAGAGAAACAGAGGACTACACAAAAACTGACACATGCATGTACGTTTACAGCAGCCTTACTCATAATTGCCAGAAGGTATAACAACTTACACGCACGTCAACCGATGAACTGGTAACATGTGGTATATGATATAAATCATGTAAATAATTCCACTGAATCATTATAGGGACATGGGAGGTGGCGACTAAGGGATATAGAATTCCTTTCTGAAAATGCTCTAAAATTAAGATAGTGGCAATGTTGCGTAGTATATAAGTACATCAAAAGCCATCACACTATACACATTTTTTTTTTTTTTTTTTTTGGTTTTTTGA